AAATACAAAAAATTTACTCAAAATGTATCAAAGACCTAATGTAAGACCTAAAACTATAAAACTCTTAGAAGAAAACATAGAGAAAATCTTCATGACACTGGATTTAGCTATACTTTCTTGAAATGTTTATGTGCACATATTATGTGCTCAGGCATGGTTTAAAGTTCTTAGGACACACCACTGAAAGCATGGGCAAAAAAATTGAAAGTGGATAAACTGGACTATACTAAATAAAATTAGTTTTATGCACCAACAAACAGTATCAAAAGAATGAAAAGGCAACACATGGAATGAGAGAAAATATTTGTAAATCATATGTTTCAGAAGGGGTTAATATCCAGAGTAAATAAATCCTACCACTCAACAACAAAAAAGCAAACAACTGATTGAGAAAATGGCAAAGTACTTGAATAGCCATTTCTCCAAAGAAGATAAACAAATGGCCAATAAGTATATGAATAGATGCTCAATATCATAATCATTAGGGAAGTACAAATTAAATCAATGAGATGCCACTTCATACCCATTTGAGTGGCTATTATCAAAAACCAGAAAGCATAAGTGTTGACAAGGATATAAAGAAATTAGAACTCTTGTCCACTGCTGGTGTGAATGTAAAATGGTATGGCTGACATGGAAAACAACTCAAGTATCTACTGATGGATAAATAGATAAACTAAATGTGGTACATATATATAAAAGAATATTATTCAGTCTTAAAAAGGGAAGAAATTCTGATACACGCTACAATATGGATGAATCTTGAGGATATAATGATACGTGAAATAAGCCAGTCACAAAATAACAGACACTGTATGATTCCATTTATGAGGTATGCAGAGGAGTCAAATTCATAAACACAGAAAGTAAATGGTGGTTGCCAGGGGCTAATGGGAGAGGCTAATGAAGAGTTCTTATTCAACAGATACAGAGTTTCAGTTCTGAAAGATGAACAAGTTCTGGAAATTGATGGCTGTAATACTTGCACCAATGAACTATATACTTAAAAATGGTTAAAATAGTAAATGTTTTGTATATCTTAACACAATGTTAAAAAACCCACTATCAGGACAAAATTGTTAAACAACCCCCACCACCCCCTATTCCCATCCTATATGTTCTGTAGGAAGAGTAATTGATTCATCCATTCATTCAGTCATATTATGTGCTCAGGTATGGTTTAAAGTTCTTAGGACACACCAGTGAATACAAAGATCCAAATTCCCTAGGACTTAAAATCTAGTGGCAGGAGGAGGAGAAAGATAGAGAAAAACAAAGTAACTTATTTAGTATGCTAGAAAGTAGTAAGCCATAATGAAAAAATAAAGAGTAGAGAATAGTAAGGGAGGAATGTTAGGCTAGGTGTGGAACTCATAAATGTTAAATAGGGCCAGAATATGCCCCATTGACAAGGGGACATTTTGGCAAAGATTTGTTAAGGTAATGTAGCAAATCAAGTGGATATATGGACAAAGATCATCCCAGAAATAGGGAACAGCTAAGGGCCTAAGAAACTGGCCTGTTGTTTCAGCAACAGCAAGAGAGCCAGTGTGGTTGGAGCAGAGTGAGCAAAGGGAATAATGGTAAGAGATACTGTTAGAAAGGTATAGGCCATTGTAAATCTTTTGCTGGATATAATCTGGAGGTAGAGGGGCGCCTGGGTGGCTCAGTCGGTTGAGCGTCCGACTTCAGCTCAGGTCACGATCTTGCGGTCCGTGAGTTCGAGCCCCGCGTCGGGCTCTGTGCTGACAGCTCAGAGCCTGGAGCCTGCTTCCAATTCTGTGTCTCCCTCTCTCTCTGCCCCTCCCCCGTTCATGCTCTGTCTCTCTCTGTCTCAAAAATAAATAAACGTTAAAAAAAAAATTAAAAAAAAAAAAATCTGGAGGTAGAGCCAGTAAGATCTCTGCCAAGATTCTTCTTGGCAGAAGAAGAACCAAGGATGATGCTAAGGTTTTAGGTCTTAGCAACATTAAAGATGAAATTACCATGAACTGAGATGGAGCAAGTTGCAAGAGAAGCAGGTTGGGAGAGGAAGACTAGGTGTTCAGTGGCAGACATATGTGTTAGCTATACCTATCAGATATTCAAATACAGGTATCAGTAGGTAGTTGGATATAGGAGTTTAGAGTTCAGGAAAAAACATGTGGCTAGAGATCTAAATGAGCATATATATGGTATGTGAAGCCAAGAAATCAGATAAGGTCCCCAAGGGAATACAGATAGAGAAGAAAGAGGTCCAGAGTCTAAGGCCTAGAGTAATAAAACATGAAGAAGTTGGAGAAGAGAGGAAGAATCAGCAAAGGAGACAGAAGGAATGACCCAAGAGGTCAATGGGAAACCAGAGACCTCATTTGAACGTGGGTCCATTCATTACTCTTCTTTAACCTTGTGAAACAGTTTCATCTCTCCATGTTTTGATTTTCCTTGTCTGCACAATAAACATAATACCAATTACCTCATGTAGTTGCTGTGAGATTTAAATGAGATCAGGTATTGGAAAACAGCTAGCCCATGTAGTACTGAGACTGTGCAAGAGCGCAATAAACGGTATGTTATTAAGATGATTAACAACAATGAATGGTAGTTCCCTCTCAGGCTATTATAGTCATTTATTCTAACACTTTACATAAAATTAGTTAGGAACTAGAAACAAAAGCAATAGACACCCACAGTAAGCCTGCAATCTACTACACCAGCCTTAACCTGATGGTTCTTCTATCTATAAATAAGCTTTATCAAAACACCTGGTTTTCCTTGAACATGCCCTGTAAGTCCTGCCTCCCTTCCGTGCTCATGTTGCTCTCTTTGCTTCATTTACTCTCTTACCATATATACTTAACTAAAATTCTAACCCATCCTTTCAAGGCATACCACAAAAGCCACCTTCTGCTTTGAAATCATTCATGATTTACCCTGATTGGAGGTGATCTCCCTTTCCTTTAAATTTTTACAGTTTTGATGAACTTCCATGGCACTTACCATTTCAATCAAGAGTTAATTACAGTTGACCCTTGAAGTGTGTTATATGCAGATTTTTCTCAATAAATGCAATATAGTACTGTCAACGTATTTTCTTTATGATTTTCTCAATAACACTTTCTTTTCTCTAGCTTACTTTATTGTAAGGATACATATAACATACAAAATATTTGTTAATTGACTGCTTATGTCATTGGTAAGGCTGCTAGTCAACAGTAGGCTATTAGTAAAGGTTTTGGGGAATCCAAAGTTATATGAGGATTTGCACCTGCATGGGAGGGAGGTCAATGTCCCCAACCCCATATCGTTCAAGGGTCACCTGTATAAATATATTAACCTTTCATTTTATTTTCTTAGGTCTTCCTTTCTAATCATACAATATCCTTAACAATATATTAATTCATCAGTTTAATAATGAGAGTCTAAAAAATGCACATGTATTTTTAAAAGATATTAATTTAACCACTGTTACTTCAATAAGCCTTTTAGAAATCTTATTTGCTGCTATTCTAAGCTTTGGCTTAAATCAATACCCAGCACTACATTAAATCTTGTTTTCTACATATCTGCCTATTATATTCCTTTTTGTTACTCGTGTTGGAAGTTAATTTCCAACCTGAAAACAACACACACTGCTAAATTTCATATTGTTATAATTTGTACAAGAAATCCAAATTGTGAAGGCATTTCTACTAATTTTTCTCTATGCTTATAATCCTCAACTTGTCACATCAGCAAATTTGTGTACTGAATAACTCACCCTATATTCATCTGGAAAAATAAGGAAATCTATTTTAGCATGGTAACTTGAGGAATTTACATGTTTGCGTCCACTTCCCTCTAATTTCCTGCTCTCCTACACAATAGATGGTCTGTTTTATTTTTTAATGAATAGTGAGAAAGAAGCAGTGTTACTTAGTTGCAGAAGCTTTTAGACAAACCGGACTTTGGTTTGAATCTTGGCTTCACCTGGTTCAAATCTAGTAAACTATACAATTTTGATCAAGTTACTTAAAGTTCTGGTCCTCAGTTTCCTGGTCTTCAAAATGGAAATATTACTTAAAAGGATAAATTGAAAATTAGATACCATAAATAAAGCATAAAGACTGGATGCTAGAATAACATTTAGCTTTTCTCTGTATTATTAAAAGAATCTATCCATTATTTGTAAAGCTATTACCATTACCTACTGGAAGCAACTAGTTTTTAAATTTAGGCCAAGATCCATTAGAGTCGTTACTGACTTAGAAAATGTCAAACAACACTGCCTTTTATAAAGCAAAAAAAATTTTTATTGGTTTTACTGGATAGAGTACATTTTCTAGCAAGATTTTTTTTTTCAATAAAGTATAGCTGACATACAATGTTACATTAGTTTCAGGTGTACCACACAGTGATTTGACAAATTTATACGTCATGCTATGCTCACCATGAGTGTAGTTACCATCTGTCACTGAACAACACTATTATAATAGCATTGACTATATTCCCCATGCTGTACCTTTTATTCCTATGACTTATTCATTCCATAACTGGAAGCCTGTATCTCCCAATCCCTTCCAGTAAGATCTTTAACATGAATAATAAATGAGATAAATGAATAAGAAAAGTAGAAAGTGATATGCCAACATTTGCCATTATTATTAGTAGATTACAATTGGCTCTATGCAGTAATTTAAAAAAAATTTTTCTTTAATGTTTATTCAGTTTTGAGAGACAGAGAGCAAGCAGGGGTGGGGCAGAGAGAGAGAGGGAGACACAGAATCCGAAGCAGGCTCCAGGCTCCGAGCTGTCAGCAGAGAGCCCGACGTGGGGCTCAAACTCACGAACTGTGAGATCATGACCCAAGCCGAAGTTGGACACCCAACTGACTGAGCCACCCAGGCGCCCCAACTATGCAGTAATTTTAAAGCCTTAAGTAAGTAAATAGGACAAATATATTTGGAAACAAATAAAAAAGAAGCTTAAAGAAAAGGTAAATATTTTTACTGTTCAAAGAAACTGATCAATTATTTCCTTACCTGAATCACTTGCTGCAACAACAACTGTTCCACCAGGAGCAAAAGGATCATTGTGCTTCAATGTTTCTACCTAAAAAAATTACACAAAATCATGACTATGAGAAGCAATGTTTCACAGCTGAAACCTCATTGCCACACCAAGCAAAATATTCTTCACAAACTCTAAATTAGTTAAGAAATACAAGGCATTAGGAATAAATGTTTCCCCTTATTGATTTGCAATCTAATTAAATTGGAATGATAAACATCATTTTCTAATCTTCTTTTATTGTATAATATAATATCCATTCAAAATGGTATATGAAACATGCATGTCTTGACAAACAAGTGTCAAATGAACACTTATGTAATCACCTTCTAAGAAACTGCCAACACCTCAGAAGTCTTATGTGCCCCTCTCCAATCACAATACCATCCTTCCTCGGTAGAGGTTATTATCATCCTGACTGGAGGCATTCATCTCTTTTCTTCATAGTTTTGCTACTGGTACAAATACACACTATTACAACTTTTCATTTTGAGGTAATTTTAGATTTCTAGAACAAGTGTAAAGATAATACAGAGAGTTCCCATATATCCTTCACTCAGCTTCCTCTAATATTAATATCACATGTAATCACAGTACATTATTAAAACTAAGGAATTAACACTGATACAAAACTATAAGCTATAGATTTTATTTAGATTTTTCCAGTTTTTCCACTAACGTCCTTCTATTTCAGGATGACATGTTGCATTTAGGGTGCATACTATTCTAACTCTTAAATATCTTAGTACTTAATATCAGTAAATACTAGATTTCTACTTTCTAATTGTTATCTAAAGATAATTCTAGCATTTGTCCCATCAGAGGAACGTACACACGTGCTCCAGAGGAAGGGGGAGAAGAAAGGAGGGAGAAACAGAGGAAGGGAAGGAAGGAGCACTCCTAAAAAGACCTTCTACTTTCAATAGCCAGGTAAGAATCTGGACCAAGTGACAAGGGTGAGTGGCTACAGAGTGAGGACTTTACCAGAAGCCAGAGATTTCTGCTATAGAACTGTTTTCCTAACTTATTTTAGTTTTTAATCATAATCAAACAAAGTATGTACTTAGGAAGAATTAACTGAACTTTCTCTTTCTGGCATCAGGCTCTTGTTAAGAAGCCAACAAAAGCCTTAGCAGACAGTTAGATGAAAGGGGCATGAAAAGGGTTTGGGAAAATTGATCTCTGACTCATGGCTATCCATGTCATCTGTATTACAGGCTCTATTTCCAATCATCAAGAAATTGGTTATTACAATTGAATGTCAAAGAATATTGGGGCGCCTGGGTGGCGCAGTCGGTTAAGCGTCCGACTTCAGCCAGGTCACGATCTCGCGGTCCATGAGTTCGAGCCCCGCGTCGGGCTCTGGGCTGATGGCTCAGAGCCTGGAGCCTGTTTCTGATTCTGTGTCTCCCTCTCTCTCTGCCCCTCCCCCGTTCATGCTCTGTCTCTCTCTGTCCCAAAAAAATAAATAAACGTTAAAAAAAAATTAAAAAAAAAAAAAAGAATATTGCAGAGCTCAATTGATACATTTCCAAATAAAACAAATGTATTTGAAAAGAGAAAAGTATTGCTAACCAGGACTTGTAGTAGTCTCTATAAAAGAGAACCCATTTAAACTACTATTAGAGGGGCGCCTGGGTGGCGCAGTCGGTTAAGCGTCCGACTTCAGCCAGGTCACGATCTCGCGGTCCGTGAGTTTGAGCCCCGCGTCGGGCTCTGGGCTGATGGCTCAGAGCCTGGAGCCTGTTTCCGATTCTGTGTCTCCCTCTCTCTCTGCCCCTCCCCCCGTTCATGCTCTGTCTCTCTCTGTCCCAAAAATAAATAAACGTTGAAAAAAAAAAATTTAAAAAAAAAATAAACTACTATTAGAAAGTGGTGTGTATATATATATATATATACACACACACACACACACACACACACACACACACACACACACACACACAATGGAGTATTACTCGGCAATCAAAAAGAATGAGATCTTGCCATTTGCAACTACATGGATGGAACTGGAGGGTATTATGCTAAGTGAAATAGTCAGAGATAAGACAAAAATAATATGACTTCACTCATATGAGGACTTTAAGAGACAAAACAGATGAACATAAGGGAATAATATAAAAAATATAATATAAAATAATATAAAAACAGGGAGGGGGACAAAACAGAAGAGACTCATAAATATGGAGAACAAACCAAGGGTTACGGGAGGGGTTGTGGGAGGGGGGATGGGCTAAATGGGTAAGGGGCACTAAGGAATCTACTCCTGAAACCATTGTTGCACTATATGCTAACTAATTCGGATGTAAATTTTAAAAAATAAAAAATAAAAAAAGAAAGAAGTAGTTAATATTAATGAAGCTTTTAGAACTAAAGATGACAGTACTTATTTTAACTGATGCCAATAATATTATTATAAAACTATCACACTAGCTTATATTCTGATTATATTTGCTGAATGAATAAAGAGCATTCAAAGGGGAGCCTGGGTTACTCAGTCGGTTCAAGTGTCCAACTCTTGATTTCAGCTCAGGTCATGATCTCATGGTGCATAGATCGAGCTCTGCATCGGGCTCTGTGCTGACCACACAGAACGGGCTTGGGATTCTCTCTCTCTCTCTCAAAATAAATAAACATTAAAAAAAAGAGCAATCAAAGAAAAATACTGAGCTGGTCTATATAGCCAGATAACTTTGCATGGTTCCTAATTTAATAGTCAAAATACCAGTGTGAGAAATAGTCACTGACGTAACCTAAGTCACCAACTATTATTGCTTCTTCTCTTTACTTTCAGGGAAGGAAATGATAACAGGCCTGATTTTTAACAAAAGCTTACAGATTTATTTGCCATCACAGAGAGAATTAGAAAAAGCAGGGCTACATGAGTGTTGGGTTTAATTTCTATTACTTCATCACACTGTGCCCCACATAAAAGACCATTAAGACAGAAAGAGGAACAGGAGGGACTGTGCAGCCCATGAAGGAATAAGAGGCCACTAAATGTTAGGTTCAGTGTGATAATTAGGCAATTTAGTACACAAAAGTAATTTCATAACTAAAATTCAGATGGCATGATTTTATAGAATGTTCCAAAATTATCATTGAAATTCTCTCTCTTAAGCATCACTCATCTACCCCTCCACTCTGACTGTATCATTTAGTACCTACACAATGCTACCATACGCTAGCTAGGACAGCAAGGAATGGCAACTGTTTGGTTTGTGTTGCCTTTTTAAATTCCATCCCTCTGTGGGGCGCCTGGGTGGCTCAGTCAGTTAAGCGTCTGACTTCAGCTCAGGTCATGATCTCGCGGTCCGTAAGTTCGAGCCCCGCGTCGGGCTCTGTGCTGACAACTCGGAGCCTGGAGCCTGTTTCCGATTCTGTGTCTCCCTCTCTCTCTGCCCCTCCCCTGTTCACGCTCTGTCTCTCTCTGTTTCAAAAATAAACAAACGTTAAAAAAAAATAAATAAATAAAAATAAATAAATTCCGTCCCTCTGAGAACGGAGACTAGCCTTGAGGGAATAGAAAAGACTTTTGGGGACAGACTCAGACCTGGAAACATAATAGAGGCCTATTTGAAAAAGAAGGAAGATCACAAAACACAAGGGCACTGTAGCTGGGAAGAATAAAGTTTAAATCTTAGACTACAGTGGTGAAGACCTTAGATTTTGGTCAGATAGACCAAGGTCTGAATTCAGTCCTATCACTTACTAACTTACTATCACTTAACCTCTTTAAGCCTCACTTACTTTATCTGGAAATGAGTCTGCTGGTGCCTGGGTGGCTCAGTTGGTTGCACCCGACTTCAGCTCAGGTCATGATCTCACAGTTCATGAGTGTAAGCCCCACATCGGGCTCTGTGCTGACAGCTCAGAGCTTGGAGCCTGCTTCAGATTCTGTGTTTCCCTCTCTCTCTGCCCCTCCCCTGCTCGTGCTCTGTCTCTCTCCCTCTCAAAAATAAACATTAAAAAAATTTTTTTTTAATTAAAAAAAAAAAATGAGTCTGGTAACCTGAGCTTCATGTGATTATTGTGAAGCTGAAATGAAATAACACAGGAAAAGAGCTTAGCACCACACCTGGCACAGGGAAGAGATGAGACAAACAGAGCTATTAGTATATTGCCAGTTTGGTTTTTTGTTTTGTTTTTAATGGAGAAATCAAGAGCAGTCAGCAAGGGCAATGTCAGTTTCAAAAACTGGGGAGGAAGGAGAACAAGTAAATAGAACAAATAGTGGAAAAATTTTACCAGGCAGGAGGAACAGGAGAAACTTGTTTTATTTTTAAGTTAGGAAGAGCTGCTTTGGCTTTCTTGTTCTTTAATGATAAGAGTGGAGAATAAGAGGGGCACCTGGGTGGCCCAGTTGGTTAAGCATCTGACTCTTGATCTTGGCTCAGGTCATGATCTCACAGTTCATGAGTTCAAGCCCCACATCGGGCTCTGTACTGATTGATGGTGCAGAGCCTACTTGGGATTCTGTCTCTTCCTCTCTCTGCCCCTCCCCTGCTTGTGCTCTGTCTCTCAAAATAAAATAAACTTAAAAAAATAAAAAAAGAGTGAATAAGAGACTAGAATACGGTAGGAGGAAAAAAATTCAGGTTGCAGCCAATTTTAGAAGAATTTGGCAAATGGGTCCACATTGCAAACTAAGTGTTATAGGAAAACAGAGTATCCAGTAGCCTGTGGAAACCACAAATATTCAGTTACAGAGGCACTTGCTCAGTTTTACATCAATGGAAAATACCAGTTATTGGCCAAATAGCTCTTTACTCAGTACAGAAAGAAAACAATTAAAGAATATCAAAATCTATTACTTTAAAAGAATCAATTACTCTTTTAAGGGAGTATTCTTAATCTAAGAGAATTAAAGAGACACAATTTTTTTTTTCAAATGCCTGTCAATCAACTGTTCCTTTTTGGGTCTGTTTTACTTTTGGATAAGAAATATCTTCCTTAAAAAAAATAAGCCTCCAAATAAAAACTAAAAATAAAAACAAAAAAAAAATCCAAAACCATTCATAATTATTGAATCTGGGTGATGGATACATGGAGGCTTATTAAAATATTTCATTATATTACTCTATCTTGGGTATGTTTAAATAACCATAATATAAAGATTTTGTTTTTAAAGGCTCCAGATGATAAAGCACTTAGCTGTATGACCTTGGTTACTTCTGAGTTCCAGTGTCCTTATTGTTAAAATAAGGCTACCAACACCTACTTTGCAAGGCTGATGATTAGAAAAAATGAATGTATAGCACACAGAAGAACTGGGATCACAGGATGTGGTTATTAAATAGGGACTGTTACTTGTATATATATTCTCAAGAGAGTCTGACTTTAGTGGGAATTTGTATTTCTTTACAAGATTAATGTGTTATAAAACATATATAAAATATGTCTATAAAGTAATATCAATAATTTTAGTTTTCTAAAAGATCAGTGCTGCTGTTTTTAGGTTGATTTTCATTATTTCAATAATGCATACCACACATTTCTGAAAAGCTTTATTGAAGACTGGTTTATGGCTTTCCAATCATTTATTTTAAATATCCCTAATGGGATATTTAAATGGGGATATCTGAGCCTTATGAAGGATGGACTTGATTTTTCAATGAAATAAGTTACTCCAGACAATTCCACTGTGTGATAAAACTGTGAAATGCCAGTCTGAACCCAAAACTAGATGGATTGGATGAGACTGATTTTTTACATAGCCCATCAGGAGTAATCTAAAAGAGGATCCTTTCATCACTGTGTATTTCAAAAACTCACTTAGGGCACTTGTTATCCATTTAACAATTTTTAACCCACCCACTTACCGAAGTATTACTGCCATTGTTGGCTGCGCTGAAAGGGTCGGTACTTGAAGTGGCAAAAGGATCAGTAGAGGACTGCTTGAAGAAACAGTCAGATGCAAATGGATCTGAACCTTTGAAAGGATCACCTCCAAATGGATCTAAGAAAACACAGCACATACATGAAAGACTAAAAACTACTACACTAAATTTCCTGTCACTTGAAGGTATGATAATTGACTTAATAAAAAGATATTTTTAACTTCTGCAGAATCTAAAATAGGTAGTTTGGATTCCAATTATTGATTATAAAAAAAATATAGACAGTTGCACCTAGTTAAATAGCTTGAATTAATATTCTTTTTCCTATTTGTTCATCATTCACCCAAAGCAAATCAACAATGCCAACACTTACTACACAAAGGTTACCTGTATGCTAGGTTTAAGTAATTCCTCTAAGCAGGTGATTCTAATTTTAGGGGAGTGGGAATCACAAATTCCTTTGTGATTTGGTTAAAAAATACAGTCTTTCGGGGCGCCTGGGTGGCGCAGTCGGTTAAGCGTCCGACTTCAGCCAGGTCACGATCTCGCGGTCCGTGAGTTCGAGCCCCGCGTCAGGCTCTGGGCTGATGGCTCGGAGCCTGGGAGCCTGGAGCCTGTTTCTGATTCTGTGTCTCCCTCTCTCTCTGCCCCTCCCCCGTTCATGCTCTGTCTCTCTCTGTCCCAAAAATAAATAAAAAACGTTGAAAAAAAAATTAAAAAAAAAAATACAGTCTTTCAACTAATAAACTTATTTGGAACAGGTTTGGGAAGCATAACCAAATGGTACACAAGATTTGCTTTAATTCTAATGTAAAATCCCAGGGAAAGAATATATTATAAAGCCTGATATTTAGTAATTCTTTAAGATGTTTTCTTTCCCCCCATTCATACACTGTAATCTTAGGAAAACAAAATGTTCTAAATCCTGTAGTAGCACAGATCACTATACTCATCTAATCCTTGGTGAACAAGGAAAAATCAGTCTAAGTATTATTAAAAGCATCAAAATATAAACATTAATGTTATTTTTTAAAAAGTAATGCTGGGGCGCCTGGGTGGCGCAGTCGGTTAAGCGTCCGACTTCAGCCAGGTCACGATCTCGCGGTCCGTGAGTTTGAGCCCCGCGTCAGGCTCTGGGCTGATGGCTCAGAGCCTGGAGCCTGTTTCCGATTCTGTGTCTCCCTCTCTCTCTGCCCCTCCCCCGTTCATGCTCTGTCTCTCTCTGTCCCCAAAAAATAAATAAACGTTGAAAAAAAAATTATAAAAAAAAATTAAAAAAAAGTAATGCTAACAGTTCATTAAGCAAATTCACAAGCATCTACCACTTTCTTTCTAAAAATGCCAGGCACCTACAATATCTTAGTGGGGCCTTATAACCGTTTAAAAATTGAATAAAAAAGAAGCCCACTTACTATAACTACCTAACTTTGATCTCTCATTTCTAAATACAACATAAGTTTATAATCAAGTAGAATCAAATTACAGCTAAGTTGGACCTCAATAATACACTCACCAATTTTCCCAAAAGGATCATCCTTAAAAGGATCACCTGTGATAAAATAAATAAGTAGGAATCACAATAACAATATTTACTGTGTGACATCATTACTTAAAAGTAACTTTAAACAAAAGCAAATTTTGTTAAAGCAAAGTCTGTTTCATTAACCCCACCTCAAAGTAGATAAAACACTAAATGCCATTCACCTTTAGGAAACACTCAAAATAATAAAGAGTAAAGGCAGAACATTAACATACCTCATAAAAGAGGCTAATTTTAACTGGAGTCAATTATACTTAACTCTTGATCACAAGTTGAAGTTACAGACAGAAGGGAAAAGACAGGCACAACAGCAATAATTTTACTAACAAAATTCTCTACTCTTCACAAGAGTACTGGATGGGTATTATCATCACCAGTTCAGAAACAAAGACACTAAGCTTCACTGAAGTAAAAAATAATTCTTCTAGAACTAAAGAGTCCAGAAACAAACCCTTACATTTATGGTCATTTGTTATTTGACAAGAGTGCCAAGAAAATTCCACGGAGAAAACAGTCTTTTCAACAAATGATGCTGGGACAACTGGACAGCCACATGCAAAAGAATAAAGTTGGACCCCTATCTCATACCATACACCAAAATTAACTAAAAATAGATCAAAGACTGAATGTAACAGCTAAAACTATAAAACTCTTAGAAGAAAACTTAAGAGTAAATCTTAATGACTTTGGATCTTAGATATGACATCAAAAGCACAAGTGATGAAAGAAAATACAGATAAGTAGGACTTAATCAAAATTAAGACAATGCAAAATACAAGAAAGTATTTGCAAATTATATATCTGATAAGGGACTTGTATTCAGAATATGTGAAGAACACTTAGAAGTCAACAATAAAAAGAGAAACAATAAAAAATGGGCAAATTATTTGAATAAAATTTCTCCAAAGAAGGTAGACAAATGGCCCATAAGGACATAGAAATATGCTCCACAAAAGATACTTGTAAATGACATATCTGATGAAGGGTTGTATCCACAATCTATAAAGAACTTATAAAATTCAACACCCCCCAAAAATAATCCAATTAAAGAGTGGGAAGAACACATGAATAGACATTTTTCCAAAGAAGACATACACCTGGCTAAGAGACACATGGAAGATGCTCAACATCACTCATGATCAGGGAAATATAAATCAAAACTACAAGGCGTTATCTCCTCACACCTGTCAGAATGGCTACAAGTAAAAACACAAGAAACAGGTGTTGGCGAGGATGTGGAGAAAGGGGAAGCCTCTTGCACTGATGGTGGGAATGCAAACTGATGAAGCCACTCTGGAAAGCAGTATGGAGGTTCCTCAAAAAATTAAAAAAAAAAAGAACTTTACTCAAAGAATACAAAAATAGTAATTCAAATGGGTACATGTACCCCGATGTTTACAGCAGCAATATCTACAATAGCCAAACTAGGGAAACAGCCCAAATGTCCATCGACTGATGGATGTGTAAAGGTGTGGTATGTATGTATATGTATCATGGATATTATTCAGCCATCAAAAAGAATGAAATCTTGCCATTTGCAACAATGTGGATGGAACAAGAGAGTGCAAAATAAGTCAAAGAAAGACCAACACCATATGATTTCACTCATATGTGGAATTTAAGAAACAAAACAAACTATTATAGGGGAAAACAATGAGAGGCCAACCAAGAAAAAGACTCTTAACTATAGAGGACAAACTGATGGTTACCAGAGGGGAGGTAGTTAGGGGGATAGGTTAAATAGGTGATGGGGACTAAGGAGGGTACTTGTGATGAGCACCAGGTGTTGTACATAAGTGATGAATCACTAAATTCTACACCTGAAACTAATATTACACTGTATATTAACTAATTGGATTTGAAATAAAAACTTAGGGGGCCTGGGTGGCTCAGTCGGTTGGGCGTCCAACTTGATTTTGGCTCAGGCCATGATCTCATGGTTTGTGGGATTGGACCCCATGTTGGGCTCTGCACTTACAGTGGGGAGCCTGCTTGGGATCCTTTCTCCCCCTCTCTGTCCCTCCTTGCCCCTCTTTCTCTAAATAAATAAATAAACTTAAAAAGTAATAATAAATAAAAATAAAACTGTTGTAAACTGACCTATCAGTTTCACAAACTGATTTGGAAATAAATTGCAAAAAGAGCTTTGACACAGTGGTATATAACACAGTTTACATTAATATAAGGTATTTTAAATTATTAAACTTATATTTATTTCTTCAATAACACATTAGGCACCTTAAGAGCAGGGATCAGGCTTCTAATTGCTATAGATTCCACTGTTTTAAAAGCACGGTGTGGGCACTTTAGTAGTAAAAATTGCTGGTTGACTTAAGAGTACCTAATCTCTTCTCCTGGTCCATAATATCTCTTTCTTTTGATTCTTATTCTGAAGAAGAAAAATGCTCTTAATCAGAGGCTCGTAAGACATAATCAGTGGCTTAGTCCCACAAGTTAGTTGCCTGAAGAGGACAAATACAGCAAGTACAAACATATCACATCTCTACTCCTCTCTATTTTTGTTGTAATAAGTAGGCTCTCAAAACTAATTCTTATATAATTTATATATGAAATTCTTATACAGTTTATATATTAAAAAGCCTTTTTTTCTGGTAAACCCATAATATAAAAATAAGAGTACTTACTGCCAATAAAAGGATCAGACTGGAAAAAATCCAAGTTTGTATCTGCAACTGGATCAGGCAGTGAACTTGATTCTACATTAAATGGATCTCCCTAAAAATAATTTTAAATTAAAAAATATTGTTTTAGGAACCAGTTTTAAGATGTAACATTTTAAAATATAATAACATGCTATGAAAAATCAATGAAAGGTAATATAACAAATATTTCTATAGTCATAAAGTTCACTTAACACATTTTTCTTTCCTTAGCCTAAAACAGTATATAACCCATCCAGAAAAACCAGTAAAAGAACACTTACATATAAAATTATTTTTTACCTCTTTTGACTGTCTGTCACTATTAAATTCAGAACAAACTTTCTCACTAACAGCTGTAGTCACCGCTTCGTTGTCATCAGTCACACCAGAAGGCAGTATTTCAGGACTACTTCTTGCCTACAAAATATTAATGTTACATGGACTAACAATGTATTTTCTATTTGTCATAGGAAACTAACAAGGGATAACCAAAATATACTAAAAAATACAAAAGACAAGCAGAACATATTCATTAAATGAGTTCTCTTAAAAGCTTTCTTAGGAATATGGTATCATCAAGTATCGAAGTCAATCAGGCCAGAAAACTTCAGGTCATCCTTAACTACTTCCCTTCGGTCATCCCCCAGCTAGCTTCCAAGTCTTGCTGAGTCAACCCCCTACCTTCTTCTCAAATCCATTCCTTTCCATCCTCACTGTCACTATCATCCATTTATAGTATCATCATTCTGGTCTCCAGCTCACTGTAAAAACCTTCCAAATGACTTCCTGCTTCCAATATGTGCCCTTCCAATCAATCCTTCTTATAGTAGCCAAAATAATAGATCTAAAATGTGAGTCTGATCATGACCCTTCTGGTTAAACTTTCTTCAGTGGTTTCCCATTGCTTTCTGGATTTTGACCAGTAGGTAAAAGGGCTTAAGAAGTGGCAGAAATCTCCAATTCATATCACCCTATGTTTTTGAAGGATAACCGAGTAATCTGCCTTTTGTACTTAAAAGAATATTATATAATGAATCCAAGATTGCAATGCCTAAATAAAAATCAGTTTGTTAATTTTATATCTTTTATATTTCTCAAGCTTGTATTCTTCTCATCATCATTCCTCCAATTACTGCTTAAGTTTAGGCTAAAACAGTATCACACAGACCATTCCGATAGTTTCTTAACAAATCTATGTGTCCAGTCCCACTCCTGAATCCATTTTCTACATTTTCTAAAAGGTAAATACAATCATGTCACTTCTTGCTTATAATTCTTCAGTGGCTACCCAGTGCAATAAAATAAATCACCCAATGCTTCAAGATGAATCCAAATTTCTTACTCTCTAGCCCTTTGTAACCTAAAAGTGGTCATTTTTATCCAGGTACACATCATAATCACTTGTGGAATTTTTTTTGTAAAAATATATGTACCTGGCACCATTCCAGAAACTCTAGTTCAGCAAGTTTGGAATGGGGTGCAGACATCTCCATTTTAAGAAAGAGGTAATGCAGGTAGCCACTATAAGAAAGCCTCATCTCCTATCAATACTCTCCCCACCATCACAAGATGGCCTTCAAGAACTTGTGACCCCATGAGGCATGTTTTCTCCCATCTCATACCTATGCAAATGCTGTTTTCTCTGCCATGAACATAGCACCTTCTTCCTTACTTAACCCTTCTTACTCTGAAGCTCACCTGTATACCTTTCTCTACAAAATCTTGAGCCCCCTCCAAGCTGTCCTTCCTAAATATCCTGTGCTTCCTTTATCACAGCCCTTTAACACAGTGTAACACTACTAAACTGTATGCTACTTAAAGGCAGGGCTAAAGTCTTTTGTGTCTGCAGCTCTCACACATAATACAGCAGCACTGCTGCACATAGCTGGTGCTCTCTAAACAGCTGGTAAATAAATGTCCTCAACATTATGAAATAAAGAATTACTTTCAGCATCGGGTGAGAGTACTTAAAAAATGTTTTATACAGTTGCTATCTATAGAACTGTTTTGAAAACACACTTTATAATTAATTGATTGAAATTATATTTTACACTAATTAAAACTGTTAGAACTGTTGAATCAATACCTACTGTCTGCCTCTTAGAGGGAAAAAAAAAATTCAACTGTCTTTAGATGAGGCAAGGCCACATATTTATATTAAGTATGATGTGAACAAAAACTTTTCTTCTTCTGAAGTTGATTATGGAGGTTATGTAACTATTAGACTCACTGGAGATTCCTGGTGTATGGGCTCAGACTCCAGGTTGCCTTGGCCTTCAGCATGCTCATTAAGGTTAGCTGTTTCACTGCTGCTGGTGCTGAGGCTGCAATAATCTGTAGCACCATTTACAAGAATGCTGTGTGGGCTACTGCACCAATTTAACTGATTATTATGGTTTTCCAGCTCTTTCATCTCCATCAGTTTCATCTGCATCTGTCAACACAAAGTAGAAATACAAAACAGAATTTATTACTAGAAAGACTCACAACAGAGAAATAGCTATACCCTTAGACTGAGTCAAAGATAAATTTGCTTCCATTAAGGAGAATCCTCTGGGGATGCAGTATGACTTAGAGAGATTTCAGTAATCCATCCTAGAGAGTTCTCCTGAAATTCCAGTATATATGGATTTGCTTTTGTGCATCTTTTGAAAGTTTCAAGAATTTTGATTCAAATATCTGCATTTTGGTGTCCTTTAGGTATAATTGGGGAAAATGTCAGGGTATTGGGAAAAAGATAGCAAAGTAAGAGAGCAAGAGAAGATTTTGTGATGAAGCTTGGGAGAAATAAAGGAAGTTGAGGGAGAGCACACAAGGGTTTGGAGCCATCTACACTCCTATTGGGAAGGAAAGGAGTGAAGACGAAGGTAAAATGAACTACTGTCCTATGCTCTGGAATTATTTATTAATGGGCTAGAGTCCTAGGAATGGTCTCTAAATCTAAGCTATTCTAAACATGTTAAATAAAGGACAAAGTATTTTGGATTTCAGTATCCAAGTGACTTTATATTTCTGGGACAATAGGGGGACACAGAGGCAGAATTCAATAAGCTGTAATATTCAGTATTGAAAGAAAAAGATTGGAACCAGAAGCAGGAAAAAAATGCTTATTGATACCAACAACTATAATAAAGAAAAATAAATTAACAAACATCTCAAAGAAACTGAAGAGAGGTCAGAATCAAAATATGTTTCTAGTTGGGGTGCCTGGATGGTTCAGACAGTTGTGTGTCCAACTTTGGCTTAGGTCATGCTCTCATGGTTTGTGAGTTCAAGCCCCGCATTGGGCTCTGTGCTGACAGCTTGGAGCCTGGAGCCTGCTTCAGATTCTGTGTCTCCCTCTCTCTCTGCCCCTCCCCACTCATGCTCTGTATCTCTCTCCTTCAGATATAAATAAACATTAAAAACATTAAAAAAATATGTTTCTAGTGAAAAGAAGTAATGAATGGAATTTTACTGAATAGTGCCCATTTTTCATAAAATATATTTTTTACGCTACATTGGAATTCCCTTTATTTATTAGCATGTTGTGTGGTTTTGTTTTGTTTTAGGAATCATAAAAATTACCTATTAGCATTTCATAAATCAAGTCTCAATTCCCCTAACCTTATTTTCTGCATAAGGTTTTTAAGTTGCTCATTTTGGTATCTGTAATTTACCAAAGGTCTTTTCAGGGTCATCAGCTGAGAAAGGAACACTATTTTGGACTGGGAGACAGATGTCAATCAAGTTCTATCACCTTCAACTCTCTTAGTCAAAGTTTAGTCTCCAAACTTCCATTTCTTAACCCATAAAGTAAGAACTATCTCCACAGATGATTAAGTGAAGCAGAAATTTTTGAAAAAACTCTGTAAAATGTAAAGGTCTGTGTAAACAGTGGACATTGAGTATAAAGTGCCTAGCACACTGCATTTCTCACTATTATACCAATTAAATTTTCCTATTTCTTTTCCACTAATTCATTCCATATTTAAAAAGTTAAAGACCTTGATCTCTTTTTGGGCAGGGACCACAACTTTTGCCATCAACTTTGTATGTCCAACATCTAGCACAATGATGTACACCGTAAGTGCTTTTATGTTCACTGAATGGACACAAGTATTGTGTTTATAAATTTAAACAGTGGGTTATCAGTAAGCATATGTATCTACCAAACTGTACTGTATTGAGAATTTAAACTAACAATCCAAAATACTACACATTTGTAACACATAGCATATGCCTTGTATATTCCTAGTGCTATTGAGTTGTGGCTTATAAATATTTTTTTACTTTAATCCATAGAAAGAAATAGATTTTACACCCTAACCCAGTAAATATACATGTATTTATTTGAATATGCATGTACATAAACACATATATATAGATACACTGATCCACATAAATAATTTACACACATGCACACACACATACATACACATACAATTGTGAAAAAATTTCATGATAGTACTTATCCTTATGCCATGTAATGCACCCTGATGTTTCCTATTCTGTCTTATTTCATTTTTATTTGTATTCATTTTTTCAAATACAAAGTATGTCTTTATTTTTTCTAAACAAAAACAACCGGTATAAGTATATATATGAATGCACAGGCACACAAAGACAGGTGCATCCATGTGCAGACAGAATTCTAAAACGATACCATACTGCAAACATTGTTTTTCTCCAGGAGATAGAATTATCAGACTTCTCACTTTCTATTTTTACAAATGTACATAGTGTAGTGCTCCATTATTAACAACAGTTAATTTGATCTTTTATACATTAAATACTTGCAATGTATATGAGGAGAACAAATGTGCATGTATAAAACAATTTGATGCTATTTGGATAAAACAATTTTATGTTTATGGGTAAGGTAGTGTTTCTCACTGAGTTGGGCACAATCACTGACTATACAGGCCAGGGAGATATTTTCTGTGGGGACCAGAGGCACAGCTCTCCCCTTGTCCATCTGCTTCAGAGCTGCCCAATATCTCCTCTATATTTTCCCATTTCTGACTTTTTTCTTGTTCCTGACTGAACCTCCTAAAGCTCACAAAATTATTTTAACACATCAGACTGCAAGCATTTGAGGAGCGATAAGATGACATTTATTCGCTTCCAGTTATCAGTGGATGTCAAGTTGGGTCGGCTTCATGGAGTCTGAAATAATGAACACCTCAGTGATTAGCAGCACCAAAGACTCAAAAGCTTTGAATGCTTCAGGACACTCTTGCTTTATTTCATTTTTTAAAAGAATTTTATCATGACCATTAAATAAATTTCAATACCCACTACACCTTTACAGTCTAAAATTTAAAACCTTGGGGTACTTAACTAGCTCAGTTGGAAAAGCATGTGACTCTTGATCTCAGGGTTGTGAGTTCGAGCCCCATGTTGGGTGTAGAAGTGACTTAAATAAAAAACTTAAAAATAAATGAATGAATGAATAAATAAAAAAAATTTCAAACCTTAAATACCTATCATATAGATGAAGCAGTATGTGGAAATACTTGCCAATCAAAGAGTTCTATGTAGGACATTTATTCCTTATAATTACTTCTGAGACAATAAAATCTTGAACAAAACTAGGCTTTCCCATGTCTCGCTCTCTCACGCAACTCTCTTCTTCCTTAGTCTCTGCATAAACTTAGAGGATATAGAGAAAAAAAATCACACAACTAACACAAGCTCTATCAGAATGCCAGAAACACATGGATTAAAATAGTATATATCATGTAAGTAATATACATAGACTTAAAGCCAGAGGTTCTTTGCTTTTTCTTACCATAAATACAAGGTAAGAAGATGAAAATTCAGCAAATCAGAACATTTTTCTTCAATTATTCCTTTTACCAGAAAAGCTGTCTGGCTTTAGAGGGCAATTAAAACCTCAGGAAAATTTACAACTGGATTTTCATTTTTATAGACCCATGGGAAAATACTGCCCTTCGTGGGAAAGACACAAGTCACTCAGTCAAATGTAAGAAATTGCTATGTTTGTTCTTTCCTTTTTTATTTATTTTTAAATTACTTTTATTTTTTAAGTAAACTCTACACCCAACATGGGGCTTGAACTTATGACCCCAAGATCAAGAGTCCCATGCTCTACTGACTGCGCCAGACAGGTGCCCTGGTATGTTTGTTTTTAAGGTTTGGAGATCAGATGCAAGGATATAATTCCTTCCATAGATCCCAAATATCTTCTGGTACACTTGGTAGAATATTTTGCTGAGATTATTTTCCTTGCTCATAAATACTGTTTTTATTTTCTCGGTAATAATTTATAATATCCAGAGTCCTTTCTACTTTTCTCATTTATGTTCCTTCCTTTGAAAAAAGTCTCCTTTCAAAAACCTCAAAGAAAATGAAAAGACAAGCAAGATATGGGGAGAAATTATTTGCCAATCAAATATCTGATAAAGAACCTATATCCAAAATATATTTTTTTAAATGCTTGTAATTTCATAATAGACAATCCAATTTTTTAAAATGGTCAAAAGACTTACACAGACATTTCATCCAAGAGGATTTACGAATGGCTAATAAGCACATGAAAAGATGCTTAACATCACTAGTCATTAGAAAAATGCAAATTAGAAACTATGGGACACCACTTCACACACACTAGAACAATTATAATCAGTTAGGTAGGCAATAAAGTGTTGTTAACATTGTGGAGAAACTGGAACCCTCATATATTGCTAGTGGGAATGTGAAATGGTACAGTGACTTTGGAAAACAGTTTGGCAATTTAAAGTTTAAAAAAAATTTTTTTAATGTTTATTTGTTTTTGAGAGAGACAGAGCCCAAGTGGGGAGGGACAGAGAGAGAAGGAGTCACAGAATCTGAAGCAGGCTCCAGGCTCTGAGCCATCAGCACAGAGCCCAATGTGGGGCTCGAACTTATGATCTGCGAGATCATGCCCTGAGCCAAAGTCGGACACTTAACCAACTGAGCCACCCAGGTGCTCCTAAAGTTAAAAAAAAAAAAAAAAAGAAAAAAATTAAAAAAAAAAATTTAAACAGAACTTCACAATATAACCAACTATTCCATATCCAAGAGAAAGGAAAACACATGTCCATATGAAGAATTGTATGCAAATGTTCATAGCAGCATTATTCATAATAGCCAAAAAGCAGAAAGAATCCAAATGCCCATTAATCAGTGAATAGATAAACAAAATACTTTATAAATACACAATGAAATAAATGTTGATACATGCTACAACACAGATGAGCCTCAAAAACATTATGCGTGTGAAGGAAACCACATGAAAAAGGCTGCACAGTGTTTGATTTCATCTACATGAAGTGCTCAAAAAGGCAAATCTATAGAAATAGAAAGCAGATTAGTAATTACTTAGGGGTAGAAGTGGGGACTCACACAGATGGGCACAAGGGATCTTTTAGGAGTGATAGAGATGTTCTAAAACTGGATTGTGATGTTTGAACAATTCTAAATTTACTGAAAATCACTGAATTATATGTACCCTTAAAAGCTGTGAATTTTATGGTATGTAAATTATACCTCAAAAAACCAATTTTAAAAAAAAACTCAAAGAAGAAAATTATTTTAAAGAATATTCATTCAGTTGGTAGCAGTCTCACTAGGATAGCATTCTTTTGGGTTACTTGTATATTGAGTACCTATACTGGGATAAGAACTACGCTAAATGATGAGAGAAAAAAATGTGTAAGTTTCTAGACCAAAAAGCTCAGTCTGCTTGGGGAGACAGACACAGAAACAAATATTTAGGGGAAAATGTTACGAATGCCGTAACAGAAGTAGAGTCCAATAAAGGCAGGGTTCAGAAAATGCTATAAAGAAATAAGAAGTAAGCTATGTCTTGCAAGATGAGTGAGTAGGTATTCACCTACAAGAGAGGGGAAGGAAATATATTAAGGGTAGGGCTTCATTATACATAATAATTAACTGAGAACACTGGACTACATGTTAGAAGATCTGGATTCTAGGCTGTGGCTCCTTTTTAAAGGCTATGTAACCATAGGTGAGTTGCTTAATGTTCCTTGGCTTTAGTTGGTTCAAATTCAAAATGAAAGGAATGAGCTACATGATCTCTCTGCTCCTAACTAACCATCTTACTACCGTTCTACAACATATTATTTTCCACATAGGGAAGCCCAGAAAAAAACAAAGCAAAAGGTCTATACTCTGGACTCACACAACATGGCACGTTTATCTATACAAGGAACAATTTTCTAATAAAAAAAATAAAGGTCTCCAAATGAGCAAAACTGGTTTTAAGATCAGAATCCCAATTTTGTAAATTTTGTTATTTACAAAAATAAGCAACAGTTAGCAAGCATTTATGTACCAAACACTACGCTAAAATGTCTCACAGTTATTTAAACCTTTACATTGCATTTAATCCTTACAACAGACCTAAAAGGTAGAAGTACTGTTAATTTTCTAATTGTAAAGATAAGGAATCTGATACTAAGGTAATTCACACAGTTAAGTGGCAGAGACAGCACTTAAACCTAAACCATGTAACTACAAAACCCATACTCTTAACCAGGACTCCAATGATAATAATCAGATACACGATGTATAACAGTCTTAATTTATGACAGGCAACAAGAAACCCATTTGTAAAAAATGAATGAAAAATGAAAAACTAGGCAGAGGGTAAAGGAACACAAGTATTATTCACTAAGAGGATATGGTGAGGCCCCGTTTGAGCATGTTTCTCGCTGTCACAAAGACTTACTGAACTGATTTCCTGTTGTGAATCTTGGAGGTGCTGCTGAAGAGGTCCGAGCTGAGCCTTCCCTGACTCCACACTCTCCTCCAATTCTGCCGTTTCTTGCTGTAAGCGACTCAGCTCCTCCCTAGCTTTGGCCAGCTCTTCCTCGTAAGTGGAGATCTGTGATTCTTGACTAGTCAATTCAGCTTTCAGGGATGAGATCTATCACATGGAAGTGAATGAGAAGAAAGAGAGATAAAAAAGAGATGTCATTAAAATGTTCCATAATGCAAATATGTTTATTTGTTTAGTTTACTATTGTGGTGTTTTTTGAAGTTTATATTTTTGGTAGAAAAGGGCAATTAGGGGATGAATAGAGGGAACTTGAAGGTATAGGTACCATACTTCCAGCTAAAATTTAGAAAAGTAGTACATTAAGGGCCTTCTTTCCCCTAAAGAGGGCCTGTAATTTCCGGATGAACAGTGCTCCAACTCCTTCATGTGCCCCAACTGTTGATTAGATTGCCACCTAACAACAACAGCAACAACAATAATAAGCAAAGCATGTTCCCATCTTACACCAGGAAAAGCAACCAAGGTATGGATACAGACAGCAGCAAATGGCCACTTTACCAGCTGGGCCTCCTCAGCGCATTTCTTTCTAACTTCCTTCAGTTGCTCCTCCAGCTGGGATTTCTGCTCATCCAGTCCATCAAGGAGTTCCTGTACTTGCTGTTTCTGGGCCTGTAATTTTTGCAGATTAGTATTCTCCCTTTGAACTTCATCTTGAAGATCCTGAAATACAAGAAAATTAACATATTTATTATCTTTGGAGAGAGGGGAAGGTTAACAATTTTTAAAAGATTACCTTAAGGGAAAATAAAGTCTCATCTAATTCAGCATATTATGTTGGTGGATTGGAGGAATCCTAGCTTTAAATACGGTCTTTACTTGAGGTAGATGCTTCGGTGATTAAATAAAACATTGAACAATGCTTTTAATAACTGATTTTTACTTATATTTTCTCAACCAACTGATTAATCTAAAAGTGCAACTACTATCATGCTGCTTTCTTTAAAAAGTTCCTTTAAAAGGGCTAACACAATAGATGATCATGAAACTCTTCTTGTGCGTAAATTCCATGAGTCTATGTGATCATAGATTCGTAATGGTAAGCTCCACTAGTATTTTATCATTAATTTCCCAGAATGCCTAATATTTTTTCATGCCTAAATTTTTAACCTTGCCTATACTATTAACTGAACCATACTCAAAATGAAGATATTGTTTTAGATATGCACCTGGCATTGGCCCTCAATAAATACATGATAGTTTTCATTGTCCTTTCCTTGACTCATGCTTTATTTTTCTGCCTTTGTTTCTTCCTATTACAAATGTCCAACTTTCTTAAGAAAACAATTCATTGTAAAGAAGAGTTCTTTAGTTACTCTGCTATAAAATACATAATGGCTCCCTCTTATCTGTGGGATAAAGTAAAACTGCCTGCAAGGTACATTAGAACCTTTAATTCTGGGCCCCACGTTATCCTTTCTCTTCTACTACCCTCTTTTCCTTATATTCACCAGTGCCCCAGCCTCAATACACCATCTTCTTTCTCCAAGACACAATATACTTCAATGTCCCTGTGCCTTTTGCCTAAGCCATTTCTTCTTCCTTGAGTGCCCTTCCATACCATGGTTATCTGGAAACACTATTCATTCTTCAAAGCCCAGTCAAATTTAATCTCCTCGGACTCACCTTGAGCTTCCTTTACTTATGTTCCTACAGCAGTTTGTACCTAACCTCTATTACCACACTTACTACACTGTATTATAGTTACCTCTAAATAATAAGCTGCTGAAGGACAAAACCAATGTCTCACCTTTCTTTGAGGTTCCACAATCTAGTATAATGCTAGCACATTCCAGATGATTAATTAAACAATGATTTGTAACTATCACAAAGTTTCTAGTACCTGGGAGAAACTATTGGAAAATGTGCCTGAGGTTGATAGAAAGGATTTTATGTTCTTTTAACATGCTGTGAAAAGCTTCACCCTGTATTTAAACTATAAGTAAATATTAATAGTAGCCTCAAACTGACCTAATAAATGGTTTTTGTTAGAATACCACCTAAGTTTCTGTACTGGTTCAATATTTTTATAGTCTATAGACCAAGATTGATCTGACATTTAAAATCTCCATTACTGTATATGGAAATAATCTTTACTGCTTTAGCATTTTACTGTAGCATATACCTTTCTTACATTTTTAAGCATTTATATTTGTGCTTTTTTACATAATATTATGTACTCTTTTTTTTTTTAAGAGAGAGAGAGTACGCAAGTTCGGGAGAGGGGCAGAGGGAGAGAATGGGAGAATCTCGAACAGGTTCCATGATCATCCTGGAGCCAAAATGGGGCTCAATCCCACAAACTGTCAGATCATGACCTGAGTCAAAAGTAAGAGTGGGATGCTCCACCACCTGAGCCACCCAGGTGCCCCTATATGCTTACTCTTCAGGAAGGCAGCTTCACTTTAACACAGTAACTTGAAAAACTACAGTGGATTGAAAATTTCTTATAAGTCAATTATAAAATATTTTTTAAATGCCACCTGCAGCTCTAAAGTAATTTTACTGGTTTGAGAATATAATCCATCATAAATACCTTACTTTGGTTATAAAGTTATTATTATATAGTTTATATATAATGATATGCTGGCCTAAAAAGCATTTTTTAAGAATCCTGTGGAAAAATCTTTTTTCCTTTTCCCCTTAATTAAAAATGTTCAGGGGTGGGAAAAGGAAAAAATATCTGTTACCTATTCCCATCCTCAAACACTCTAACTTCCCAACCTCTCTCAACCTCCTGCCTCCCCCCTCACCCCCCACCCACACCAAATCTTGGACTTCATTTCTAATAATACCTAGATGTTATAAATAGATATAATTTTGATGTCTCTACTTTTATTATGAATCTAATTAAAAACAAAATTTACCTTAAAAGGGTCATGTAATGTAAGAAAATGTCTAGGACCTAATGTTAATTTTTAAAAGCTAAATACAAAGGCATGTACAGTATAATCACAAATAAATATAAAACCATTTATGTATATTCATTAAAAATACAGCAAAATGTTAACAATGTCTCTCTCTTGCTGAAATTGTAGAGTTTTTTTCTTTTTATATTTTTCTATATTTTATAAATTATGGACCAATATTACTTTCATAATCCAAAAATGTCAAGTTTGCAGTTTAAGTATCATATACCTCTGGTGGTTTCACACCAGTATAAAAATATTCAGATGTAGGGGCGCCTGGGTGGCTCAGTCGGTTGAGCAAACGACTTCGGCTCAGGTCACAATCTCACGGTCCGTGAGTTTGAGCCCCGCGTCAGGCTCTGTGCTGACAGCTCAGGGCCTGGAGCCTGTTTCAGATTCTGTGTCTCCCTCTCTCTGACCCTCCCCCATTCATACTCTGTCTCTCTCTGTCTCAAAAATAAATAAACGTTAAAAAAAAATATTCAGATGTGACTGAATTTTTATGTAAAAGCTACCAATAGTAGGATTAATACTGGTTTCCTTTAATAAACTGAACTATTTTTCAAAACTAGTATTTTTAGTGAGCCAGTTTGAATACACCCTTAGAAGACAAATTTATGCAAGAGGAAAGGGAATAAACAAGCCAATATAATATTTATTCATTCTTGACCTTTCTCTTCCACGGAGCAAACAAAGTCACTTAAATTTCCCAGCCTCACTTCTTAGCTGCAGTAAAAAGCCACTTAGTAACATAAAAGTATAGACCTCCAGGGGAAAGGTTACTGAGAAAATACCTCACATTAGTATCTAAGCTGGATAGATGTCCACATCAAAACTAATTATAATTAATGTTTCTCCATGTCTATTTCTAAGTATGATAAAAGATCTCTTAAAAAATTCCAACACTAGCTCATACACAAAAGCATCTACTTTTTCAGTAAGCAGATTTAAAATGATTAATTTGCACAAAAGCAAAATGAACAGATGCAAATATACACACTACAAGAATAAGAATCAAATTTCACTGCAAAATTACTTGTAAGGCTACCACCACTGCAATACAATTTCCACATCAACATCAGTATCCAGATAACCTTGGCTATCTTATTTTGGTATAGATTTGCTTACCCTGAGACTAAGTGAAGGTAACAGATACACATCTCCCAAGGATCCTTACCCACCCCTCACCCCTCCAAATCCCCACCTCATCCTCGACCAGGGCAGTGGCAGGCTCTCCTAACAAACACTATCTTCCACTAAACTAGGATAACTGACTCTTAACTTTAGGGTAGCCCTTTGGGAAAATCCTCTGTGCACAACCTCAGCACTATCAAATGCCATCCCATGAAGTAAGTGACTAAAGACATTTGCAGAAGCCTTCCTAGTTATGCTCTACTTTCCGTGATCATGCTCTACTTGCCTATCTGTTCCATCAACAGAAGAAAGGAGAATAGCAGCAATCAGAGAATGGCAAGAATGGAGTGAACAAAACTACAGTAACACAGTGCCAAGGTTTGTTTTAGAAAAATACCAAAGCAGTCACATCAAAGGTTCCTCATCAGGGAAGGTATCTTGGCTTTATTTAAAAAGAACTTTCAAGGAAAATGTCCTGTTTTCTAGAAATCACACAAGGTACTGAAAATGATAAACTCATTCCCATCCTTCTATATCCCATGAAGTGCTGCAAAGGTAGTGAAAAGAGAATTTAAACAAATAAATAAAAACTCTTTGCTATATTAAAAGACTAAAACAATTCATTTTAGCAACTCAAGTCAGTTGCACAACTGAAGAAGTAACTTCAGTATTAACCTAAGAAGTATTGGGGCACCTGGGTGGCTCAGTCGGTTAAGTGTCTGTCTTCAGCTCAGGTCATGATCTCAGGATTTGTGAGTTAGAGTCCCACATCAGGCTCCCTGCTGGCAGTGTGGAGCCTGTTTGGGATTCTTGCTCTCTCCTCTCTCTCTCCCCCTCCCTGCTGGTGCTTTCTCTCTCAAAATAAATAAAGAAAAATCTTAAAAATAAATAAACAAACAAACAAACCAACCTACAAAGTGTTAACAACATGAATACTTTTGCATCTGTTTCATATAAAATAGAGCAAAATATAAACAAAGCACTAACTTATGAATAAAACACTTACTTAAAAACCCCAAAGCATATATACAGACATGTATTTATACTAGAATATCTATACCTGAAGAAGAATTATTAAAGAGAACAGGGGGAATTTTACATATTTTGGAAATCTTATAAAAATGCTATTGAATTGCTTTTAAAAATTCTATAGACTAATCCAAAACTAGAAATAATCAGGTACATTCATTATGTTGGCCTAATTTTCAAAATGGAAGTTATAGGAGTATTCTTTTTTAAGTTTATTTATTTATTTTGAGAGAGAGAGGGAGAGAGAGGGAAAGAGACAGGGAGACAGAGGATCCCAAGCAGGCCCCATGCTGTCCTTACGGAGCCTTACACAGGGCTCGATCCCACAAATTGTGAGATCATGACCTGAGCCAAAATCAAGAGTTGGATTCCTAACCAACTGAGCCACCCAGGCACCCCAGGAATATTCTTTTTTATTTTATTTTATTTTATTTTATTTTATTTTATTTTATTTTTTATTTTGAGAGAGAGACAAAGAGAGAGAGAAAGTGTGGACGCACACACACCCACACACACACACCCCACACACATATAAGCGGGGAGGGACAGAGAGAGAGAATCCCAACCAGGCTCCGCACTGTCAGTGCAGAG